TTTGAACTTTCAAACATTTGAAATTATACAACAGAATTGACTTGGTCATATACTCATATATGACTTTGAACTTTCAAACATTTGAAACTGTACAACAGAATTGACTAAAGTATTATTCTTTAAAATGCGCCTTTAAGTACTCATGATATTTTCTTATCACATAAGACTCTTTAGGCACTTGTCCATTTTAATTAACTAACCTTAACCATAGAACTTAGATGTTTATCCATATCTCTATTTTTTTATAATATATCCAAGATAATTAAATCTGTCAGCTATATATCACTTTATCTTATTTTAATGTGGATTGATATTTATTAATAGCATATATACTAAAATTCTATGTCATATGCCTAGCCTTTGTTCTACTATATTTAAGACATTTATATTCTAAATTTTCACTTATTTCACTTTCTATCTCATTAAGTAGAGTTGTATCATATGCATAAAGCATATTCCTAGGTATCTTGCTTTGAATATCCTTTGTTGACATCTTCATAACTAATGTAAAATGATATTGGCTTGATTTTGGCCGCAACAACCAGTTCTCTGCCTCAATTGGTCATTCTACACATTTAAATAATGATGGTCTCATATCATTTAATAACTTTAAATATTTATCCGTATTCATACCACTATTATTGCCACTTCCTGATGGTTAATTTCTTGAGTCCTAAATTAATTGAGTCATAGCTGTCATCATTTGTGTATGAGCATGAGGATTAACAGCCATATTAGACACTGCTCTTTCCACATCTTCTTCAGGATCATTCTGAGTCCTAAGATAAAATAAGATATCTTTAGAAAATTCATAATTTAATCTTAAATGAACTTTCTTAACTTCAATAATCAACTTAATGGCTCTTTCAGTATGATTGATATCCTAATTGGGTTTTGATATCACTTTTATCATGAGTCGGCTCAAATTCTTGAACCATCGAGGTGGGACCGAATAGTCGGACGATTATAACATTTTTTTTAATTTCAAAAAAAGTATGTCATCTATATTACAAATAAAGTTGAAGAGCTACTAACATAATTTCCATCAAACTATTAATAAAATTTTCACATCTTAACATTTACATCAATCTTTATTACATGCTTTCATTTGAGCACCGTTTTCTGTAGACGTACTCTTCTTTTCAGCCATATCTATTTCTCTGATGATTTATCTAAAAAATTTTAATTTAAATGTTTGAGTTCACAAAGTAAACTCAGTGGATAATCATATCTGTAGCATAGCAATTTTACATATATAAAATAACATATTCATTTGGCTTTCTTTTGCATTTACACACATGCGCGCGCGCGCACACACGCGCACACACACACACACACATATATATATATCATTTCTCTCTCATATGACATATATTCTTTATTTACATTTATCATATAGCATATTTCTTTTTTCAATTTATATTTGTCAATTAATATATTCCCTTTCCCTTTTTCATTTAGCACAGGAGCACCATCTAAATGTACCAAATATAGGTACAATCATTTTCATTTACTTTTAACATGCACGGGTACATTGCGTCCCCAATCAGTACCATAAAAAAGTGAATTCATGTAATTTGCATGCATATACTTTTTTCTTTTCATTTATACATTTATTTCATTTATTTGTATACATTTATCTTTAAATGATTTTGAAGAATATTTGTATACATTTTAATTTTACTTTCTTTTTCTTTCCATTTATTTTCAATCCACACACATGTATTTTACCTATTATATATATATATATATATATATATATATATATATATATTACTTTAATAACCTTATGATTCAAGGCCATTTATATTGTTTCAAAATTTTGTGGTGTTACTATAATTTTAAAATATAATATATAGATTGAGCTGTTTTATAGCTTACTCCTATCATTTAATAAATATACACAAGTATTGTCTAGAGAATTTAAATTAACGAAAGAAAAAAAAACGTGTATCGTAGACGTAATACTACACTAGAGGTATAATGATTCAAGGCCATTTATATTGTTTCAAAATTTTGTGGTGTTACTATAATTTTAAAATATAATATATAGATTGAGCTGTTTTATAGCTTACTCCTATCATTTAATAAATATACACAAGTATTGTCTAGAGAATTTAAATTAACGAAAGAAAAAAAAACGTGTATCGTAGACGTAATACTACACTAGAGGTATTTATTTCCAATAGTTACTTTTTGAAGTGTTAGTGGCTCTTTTAATATATTGAAAATAGAATATTATTAGTAAATATTTGTCTGACTATCTATTCTGATCTTTGGTTTGGGTCATGATAAAAGTGATATAAGAGAAACTAATATCTTAGTAAATATGAATCTGTTAGACCGGTCCAGCCGGTCCACGCGGGACTGGCTCAGACGAGAAACACGCAAAACAACGAATTTTTCAGCCTGGGCGGAGGCCGCGCGCACCGCTCGCCTTGCGGGAGCCGAATAGGAAGTTTTTTTGGGGAAATTAAGAGGGGAATTTGAATGTAGGGACTGTTTAGGGATTTCCTTTTGATTGGTATGCATTAAATAGTTGATTTTTCTAGAGTTTGAGTATCTTGAATTTGGCTGAAATTTGAGATCTCTTAGATTTAGGTTTCTTTGGGCTCTAGCGGCGTCTAGAGATTTGGGAGAGATCGATCCTCCTCTTGAATTGAGGATCAATTGTATCTTTTCTATTTTGTTGCATATTCTAGTGGAATACAAGTCCTGCATTGATTCTTCTCACGGTTTTCCCTGGTTTGTGCTGATTTCCTGCTGTAGACAGCAGGTTTTTTTGCTGTTTTTCCTGCTACAAACAGCCATTTCACTGCTGTTTGCATATCGATTTGGGTTAGGGTTGCTTGCGAACTCAAGTATTAACTTAGGGTTACTTGCGAACACAAGTATTTCCTATCAGAATCATAATGAAAGAGCCACTAATTCATAAGAAAATTTGAAGATTTGATAGTATGGTATATATCTTTGGTATATGGAGGATCAAGATGATGTAGTATATTGAAATATGGTGTGAGAAGTACCACCTGAGGTGATAGTGAACACCGATATTTTTACTCAGATGATGACACTGATTCATTTCTTTAAGAATCAAGATCTCAACCTGGACCTGGAGTGGATAAAAATCTAAAGCTATTCCAGGATATGAGACTTCCACTATTTATGGGAGTGGAAGGATCGATTGAGGTAGAGAAAAGGTTGCTTTGTATGAAAAAAATATTGGATAGCATGTCATATCCTGATGAGAGGAGGGTGCCACTTATTATGTTTGCATTAGATGGAGAAGTGAAAATGGTCGTGGAGATGACAACGTTTGGACAAGTTAGGTGACATTCCTAATATGCTGATCAATTGGGAACACTTCGTTAAACTTTTCAGAGAATGGTTCATTTTCTATTTCCACTAGGAGGTATATGCAAGACAATTTATTAGATTGGTGCAAGGAGATAAATTGGTGATGTAATATGAAAAAAATTTACAGCACTGTCAAGATATACACCATAGCTAGTCGCAACTGTAGAAGAAAAATATTATTGATTTCTATTTAGATTAAATGATGTCAATAGACAACTATTAGTATCTTTAGGAATCAATGACTATATAGTATTTGTAGAGAGCTAGAAGTGTTTAGATTGATTTTCAAATCACTCGGAAGCGAAGGGATTTACATAAGTGGAAGAGCACTTTAGATGATGTGTATATTACTTAGCTTGAAGGATCAAATTGGAAGAAAAACCAAGTCTAGCACTTATAGAGTTAGTAGCAGTTTGATTGGTAAAGTTATGGAAATTTTGTAAGATTTCATTGGGGCGAATGTTTGATTAATGGGCTCCGAGATTTGCTATTGGTGTTGTCAACTTCGACACATAGCAAAGTATTGTCCTACGATGAGTCGGAAGGCTTAGAAGAGATGAAATCAGTTAGAGCACTTTTACAGAAGAATTTTGGCTAACAAAAGATGATAGAACCAATCATTTCATATCCAAAACAAAGTCAACAAGAGAAGAATGTTCAACAACACTGTAAGAGAGGTATTTAGTTGCAATAGTTGTATTATTTCTTCTTAAAATAAATTTGAAGTTTAGTGACTCTTTGTGTATGTTACAAATAGTTTGATACTAGTAAATATTAGTGAACAAAATTTTCAATATCCAGCCAATCATCTGTTTCTGCTTTTGTTAATCTAAGCATCCAGACTAAGTAGTGACAATCACCACCACAAAAAAGGCAAAATTTATCTAAAAATTGTTTTCTTTGATCTCAATATCAAGGATTATTATATGATTGTCAGCTTTAAGTATTAACTTCAACCATAATATTCTGTGAACATATTTTCTCCTTTTGATGCCAATGAAATAATAAAAGGCTTGAGATTTGTTGGGGCTATTTGTAAAGCATGCCCCAATAGAAGCAACCTTTTCTTTCTAGTAAAAAAAAGTCTTTGGATCACTTAACTAGATGCATTCTATGTGGTATACTTAAAATTTCCTGTGAATTTGATATCCTATACTGTTCTTAGCTTGTTTCAAATTCAGTTTTGGTTTGATTCAGTTGGGTAAGCTCTTTTAGATTTGTGAACTCCATTATAAAATGCTTGCTCTTACCATGAGCCCTTCATTCTTGAATTTGCGGAAGTTTTTAATTTTTCAAGTGCCTTCAGTTTCAGCTGATATAGGTGCGCTTTAAATCTCAAGGAAATGTTCCGAATGCTATTCCGAAAATTTCAGGACAAGGGACTAGAATGAATTGTTTTTATATTATTTTTTAATGTTTTAAATTCTATTCCTGAATATCAATACTAAATCACTATACAAATATGTAGTGCTGATCAGATTAAAAAAAAAAAAGCTTTTTCTTCTGTACGTGGATTTATTGCATTTGGCCATTCTTTCCATGCTGATTGATTTGATTTTGTTCACTAGATTTTTTTAATGTTTTTATGACCAAATATGAGCAGAGTTCTGGGCTCTAAAAGGTGCAAATGTTAACTTTTGCAGGTTGCTTGTTCTACTATATATTTTCCCAGATTTGAGCAACATTTCTTCAAGTTTACTGGAAGATCTTATTTCTATGTTTGCTTTCATGAGTTTCGATCCTTTGCCGTTATAGTTACAAATGCACTTGTGCATCACGCCAAACTCAGCCGCATATTTCAGTTTTGATCGTTAGATTGAATTCGGCCTTTTATTTCAGAACTAAAATGTGTGATTGGATTAATAAAACCTACATTGGTGCGGTTCTCACTATATCTATGAAAAAATCCATACCACAATTTCTTCATTCCTGCAACTGATATCAAGGATTTTATATCCCCAGTTTAATGGCCAATTGAAATATTTCTACTGTGTTAACTGGATTTTGATCCTTCGTCACCATCTTATAGTTAATTTATATATTCTGATCGCAGCCATTTGTTCACTTTGGTAGTTAGGATCAGGCCATCCATAGCCAGTTTGCTAGCTCTTTTGGAAGCTATAGTTGATTTCCGTCTTGCCTAATCCTTGACGTAGAACTTGGAATGCATGGTTGGGATGAGTAAGACTTCATTTGAGACAGCTTTCTTACTGCTTCATAAAGCAACTTTTTAGTAAAAAATTAAAATTTTGATATTAAAAAGCTGATTTAAGAAGAAAAAGAAAATAGTACCCAACAAAGCCTAAAGCTTTACTATTCAATATCAATAATGATTGGAATGGACTTGATATCCATAGTAGTCTGCAGTTAACACAAACAGTGACTTACTGTGAAAGGTAAATCATAATATCATATGGTTTGTTTTTAGTACAAAAAAAAATATAGCTTGGTACAAATCCCGATGACTGAATAAATAAATTATTACACGTGTAAGTAATTATGCAACCACACCACTGCGTGCACCCCCTTTCCCATTTGAGTTGCCAGGTTGGTAGGGCACCCCAATTTGGCTTAAGTTATTAGTCTAACCCTCTGGGTGAATGTTGTCCACATCTGTTAAGTGGGTGCAAAGGCCATTTTCATATTATCTAATGTCAATCATGTCTTTTCATTTATTGGATTAACCACCAAACATCCAACCAATCCAAATGATGAATCCAACAAAAAAGTAGAGGCCTTCTATCCTCCAAAAGCCTAGAGAGAGACATAAAGAAGATAGAGAGAGATTAATTGTTGGTGGGGGGCAGTGAAATGATTCAAAAATGAATGAAGATTGGTCACAGCTGTAAGGATTTCAGTGCTATTAGCAGTTGGCCACTATTAATGTTCGTAAGAATTGTGGCGTTCTGAAATTCAACAAAATCCAGTAGAAGCCCAACTCATAATGGTCTCCCACTCTCTCTCTCTCTCTCTCTCTCTCTCTCTTATATATGTATATGCATGTGCGAGGTTTTGTATCTTGAAATGACAGGTTTGTGATATCCAGAAGTTTGGAAAAGACTGCAGGTCTTATTCTCATCTTTACGGACGCACCGTTAAAAAGAAAGGTTGGAATTCTATAATGGTTTGCTTTCAGGACAGTTTACGGGCTTTGTGATTAGTAACCTCTACTCTGCCGGCTCACATTATTCCAGTTTGTTGGTTGCTGGGGGTTGACCTAAGCTTTCATGATTCATTTACTATTTTTATCTCACTGGTCAAATCTGTACACAAAAGCAAGACTATCATCACCAATCTACCGCAGCTTTTATACCCGGTAAACTCACTGGTACATTTGACTCCCTTTGTTCTAGTTATTATTGATAAATCCCATCAGTCTTCCGTAAAAATACATGCATGTATGCATTAAGGAGAAATTATTCTGTGCAGATACGTCGGGAGGCGAATCAGGTGCAGTCACATCAGTAGTACCGAGCAAAGGAGTGATGTGATGCATTCTGATTGGTCTTCGGATGACGTTCGGCGTCCGCACAGAATAATTAATTGTTCTCCAGATAGTATCCTATATAAGTTTTGAAAATTTATGAATTTATGTGACTGCTTATATATGCCTGATTTGTATAAAAAAAAGTAGAATTGGGAAAATTCATTTTAAATAGAATTTTATTTGGGGAGTATAACTTTATTCTTGCTTCTATAAGTTAGGGCAGAGCTACCAGGATATGATTCCTATATTCTTTTGATAAAGGGAGATTTCTGCTTAGGTCTTAAGCTTTGTAGAAATTGTGGTTTCGATTTTTAAGTAGTTTTTCGTTGGGTGTGGAAATGGTTGTCCATCTAGTTTGTTCTATCTAATGAGTTATTCAAATTCTATTTTTGCAAAAAAAAAAAAAAAAAAAATGAAGTTAAGATGTTGCGGTTTAACCCGTTGAAGATGTTGGCTAGTCTAGCCATGTCAATAAATGACTTGACAATTGGCCAGAAAAAACTGGATTCAAACCGACCCGATTAGTTTTTGGATTAGATTCGGATTGAAAATCTTGACCTGATTAATTTTTCGGTTAGATTCAAGTTGACCCAAAAACTTAAAGATTGACTTAAATCGGTCAAGCTTATTTAAACAAGTCATTTCAGGATTAAATGGATTTTATTTGCACTAAGCAAAACATGTTGATCATAAAATGTTGTAGGATTTATATGATAAATGGTCAAATAGATCGGGGATTCGGTCAGTTATGTTTAGGTCAAATATTTTCACCCATATGATTATTGGGTCGTTTTTGAATTAAGTTTATTTGGCTCGGTCTATTTTGAGCTAGACCTCCAACTCGAATTAAAACCCTTATGGCTAGCACTAGCTTTGCTTTTTTAATCGGTATTTGGAATATGCCTTGTTCTGTGTTTGACGGCAAATTATTACGTCTGGTGTCCGTATTAGTTCGGACACCAATCCAGACGTGCCATGTCACCAAAATACATCAGGAACCAGTGTATTCGGATCACGTGGCGTGTCTGGATTGGGTGTCCGGACGTTCGGTGACCGGACGTTCGGTGACCGGACGTAATAATTTGCCGTGTTTGACATACCCAAACCCTACTTTGTTTTATAGGAGAAGAAAGCATTGCTTTTTTTAATTTCTTTATCATCTTTTAAATCTTCATTTTTATTTAATTTTGCATTTGAGAGCATGTTTTGAAAGGAAAGGGCGGCATCTAGCTTATGTCATCTGGCAAAAAAAAGGTGTTAATAAAGAGAGTAAGAGAATTTGTTGCATATCCAGTCGGTGGCTCGGTGCTCACTCTATTTGGGCATTTGCTGAATGGCTCAACATCCACCGAATGTCCTAAAATTATTATTTTATTATTAGTATAAAAAATAATATTTTAAACTTAATATTTTATATAATATAATCCTAATTATATATATATATATATATATATATATATATTTCATTTTCATTCGACAAAAATGTATTTCGACTCAAGCAGCTGCATTATATGTAACATCAATACTCAATATTATGTCCTCTGACCGGACGTAGAACTACGTTAGGCCGTCAATAACATGTCACCACGTGCTCTTATTTTTTACCGCGCGGCCCGACTACTTGACCCGGATCGGAACCCGGGAATGCTATGTTCGTGTATTGCGAGGTATTACTCGGTATTGTTAGGTATTGTTTGACAATAACGAGAAATACCGCTATGTGAAGACCAATACCGAGTAATACCGAGTTGTAACAAATTTTTTTAGAAAAACTCGGTACAACTCGGTATTACTTGGTATTTGCTCGGTATTGGTTATTGCCGAGCAAAATCGCTCGGTATTGGTTATTGCCGAGCAAAATCGACCAATACCTAACAATACCGAGCAATTCCTAGCAAAATCGAGAAATACAGAGCCATCCTGGGTCCGTTCTGGGTCGGGTTGTCGGGACGTGCGGTAAATAATGAAAATGTGTGGCGCGATTTTATTGGCGGCCAAACGTAGAGCTACGTTCTGTGACCGGACCAAATAAAAGTTCCTCAATAAGAGGAAATTAAGGCTTTGGGATTGCTTTTTTAGTGTTTCATAAAATATTTTTTTAGTATAAAGAAAATTATTTATTTTATTCAAAAGTTGCTTTAAGAATTATTAAGAAAGCAGTTTCAAACGAAGCTTAAAGTTGACATTGAGCTGCCAAATGACTTTGTTGATAGTTTTTCATTTTTTCTTTGATCACACACTTTATTTCATATTTATTAATGCCATTAACTTAAAAATTAAATAAATTATATTAGTGGTGTAAACGAGTTGAGATGAGCTCGAGTCATCGCTAGCTTGAGCTTGATTAATTAATCGAGTTCGAGCTTTGAGGTTTATTTAATGAGTTTCAGATGGCTTATGAGCCGGCTTATTTATTATGGAAGAGATAAAATGATTATAATTTAAATAATTATTATAATAAAAAGACAAAAAGTGTGAGAAATCTAAACAAATATTTTCAATAATTTTATACTTAAAATTTTAAATCCTAATATAGTTTAAGTATACTTTATATTATTATTTTTTAAACGAGCCAGTTTGTGAGCTAACAATTTGAGTCAGTGTTAGCTCAAGCTTGACTCTTACGCTCAATGAGCTCGGCTCACGAATTGTTTATCAAGACTAGCTCGAGTTGGCTCATTAGTCAATTTGACTCGCTCACACCTTTAAATTGTATATAATTTTTTATAAATTATGATCTGTATTTCATTAAAACATGTTCTCGTCAAGTTCCCCTTAAAGAAACTTTTCAGCGATTTGCAATATATTAAAAAATATAGAGCCTAAAACTGAAGCAAAAAAAAAAAAAAAAAACGAAGAAAATTATATTCACAATGATTAAATCGAAGACTACGTTTATTATTGATGTACCATCATGCGTGTACCATCATGCTTTGCTTGTCTATTTGCCCTTTCTTGTAGGTCCTGCACAGTTCATTTTTTGCTCTAAGCCAACAGCTAACTCCTTTGTATTTATTTGCTATTCGATAATGGTATTCTTTTCCGGAATAACCTGGCATTGAATAAAGAATGTCACCCACCATTGCTTAGCTTGATTGGTGGGCAACTGCGGTTGGGTACCTCTCAACTCAAGTTCGATTTCCCTCGAGCGGCAGTGCGTCTTTAGTGGGGCACAATTAAGTGCGGACTAGGAGGTTTAAAATTGCAATGTGTGAAGGGGAGATTGGTCCAATGGTATCAATCGGAAGCCTCTGGACAAGTAATGATGTACGGGATTGACAACGTATGAATGATAAAAAGAAATTGTTAGTGGAACTTGCTCGGGATAAGTTACAATGGGATCATTGGTGTTTGAAGGAGAAGATATCATACGAGGAGCTCACTTGGACAGGCAGATTTCGTCGTGCGAAGGATAATAAAGGCCACGGTTTGAGCTTATCTGGGCGAAGATCATGGTGCATTTCAAAATTATTAGAATTGGGTGATTTCAATGTACACAAAAAATTAATT